AAAAAAAAAAAAAAATGCTAAAAAATTCTGTGACCTCAATGCCTAGCAGTTATATGTTGGCCACACCAACAAGATTAGTTCTAACATTAGACGAGTTTACAGATCTGTGCAACGTATTATTTTCTCCAGGCCTCACATTTTCCTTTCCACCTCCGGATTTAGGGTTGGGCTTATTATCATCTGGGGGTGATACACGTAGTAAGAATTTGTGTATCATCTCATAACTGGTGAATGTTATTACAGCTGACGGTGTTGTTCTCAAGAGATTAGTGGCACACCCACGATAAAACCCGGGAATACCTTCCTTTCTCAACAACTTCTTTATGCAATCAATCACCCCTTCATATTGCTGTTCGGTGTTTCGTACTTGACCTTGTTCTTGCAACCTTGAACGGATAACCTGGCGGGAAATTCAAACACCATAACATGACTTAGCATGTTCAATTTTGCTAATTATGAAATAATGGAGGTACGCAGATCTATGGATGATAAACTTTTATAAGGTCCCCCCAATTAATAAATGTTTTTCAAGTTCATAAAAAGAGACAGGTTCTTTTTTCAAAATTAAATTGTAAGGAGGTTTTGAGCTAGTATTACTGTATTTAGACTATTGGTGATGTAAATAAAGTAGTCAAAACTAAGGGAACTTGCGAAACAAATTATTAATTTGAAGAACACCGCTTGTAACTAAGAGATGTTTGAGAACAACTTCTCAGTCAAAACAAAAATGTATAATCCAAACAGAAAAGTTCCAAGTGCTTATTATTGAGTTGATCATGCGAAAGTTATACCTCATGAGGATAAGTTGACACGGAAGCAACTACTTTTGAGACAGATGAGGCAATAGCAACTTCCCAAGAGTTGAGCTCATCACAGCTTTTATTCTCTTTGAAATCACAAAAGTAAAAGAAAGGAATAATTTAGCATGCAGATAGTAGTAATAGCATCTGAAAAAATCCCTATGACACACGATTGATAGGAACAAAAAGGGAAGTTCAGTACAAAACAGTAGGAGAAAAGGAGATATTCCTGAACTTACTTTGTTTAGCTAAGTAGAATTTTATTCTTTCATATGCTGGGAATTGGATAGCCACGTGACTGATTCCAGCGAGAGAAGGCAGAAGACCACTGTGCAGGCAATGAGAGGGGAAAAACATAATAGTTAGGGTGCAATTGGATATTAACCAAAAAAAATAATCCACCAAATAAAAAGAAAACATTTGCTACTCATCTCACTTTTTCTTACTTTAATTTTATTGGTAAATTTTAAATTAGAAACCAATTATTATCACACGTTTCTCCATAAGTTTTACTATTCATCCACTCATCTCTCTAAATCCAAATCATTATTCTACCATTATTACATCACGTCGACATTAATTATTACATCTATGCATTTTACATTAATCACATTTTTCAAATTTTCCCAGAAAGATTTTCCTCTCATCCCACTAGCAAAATAAATAAATTTGTTTGAATATTTATCCAATCACTTAACCTGTCCAAACATTTTGCATTTGACATTACTAGTAAAATTATACAGTTTATGCGTGGACATAATCTTTCACAAAGGTATATTTAGATGAGGACAGAAATTGTGGATAGAGCATCATTTGTTAATCTAATAATCTTTCAAAAAAAATTGTGACACTGTTTACTTTATCTGTCCACCAAACAAGAACTAACCTGTACCATCCTCGAAATCCTTCTTCATGAGCTATTCGTCTCAAGGCAGAAAATATGTTCTTGTAAGGAACCACACCTTGCCTCATCCCTTGTGTCTGAGTAAAGATGAAAGGAAAAAAAATATAATAATAATAACAACAACAACAACAATAATAATAATAATAATAATAATAATAATAATAATAATAATAGTAATAATACAACAGCTTCTAATAAACAAAATAAAGATAGAAAAACAGAATTGATAATAATAAATTCAACCTACTTGAAGTCTTGTCTTAACAACCCACAAAGGATTTGTAGTGATGGATGTTGCAGCACCAGCTCCTGCGGCAGCTATCATGTTTGATGCAATTGTAAGCTGGTCCTTCCTACCCTCTGTTTCAGCGTACCAAAATTAAACAACTCAGAAGATAAATGTAAATTAGAGCAAACGAATAGTTCAAACTGTACAACTTTTATATAACCTCTAACAAGCCTAAAAATGTGCTTATATAGACAGATCACCAAATTTCAGTGAGAACGCATTTTGAGGATTATGAAACCTACCATATGAATGTAGCAGTTCTTTCAGGTGCCCGTAAACTGTGAAATATACCTGCACATGATAATAAGCTTATAATAAGCTTGCTTCACTGAAAGACACAAAACAGTTCCAATTTCACAAAATCAAACCATTTCTTTATCTAAAGGAAATGCAAATGATTTGAAATCACGTTGAATATCACACGCCAGAACTTTAACAATGTTCTATTAGTGGACAGCACAAAAGGCCAATGAAATAGTAAATATTCCAAATTTTAGCATCTAAAAAGAAAACACTAACCGCCCAATTCGGAAGTAATGCTGTCAATGTGGGCGTGAGGCCACGGTACAGTCCCTTCATACCTTCATTCCGGACTATATTTTGCAGACTGACAAGAATAACACTGCCTAACCATCACCCGAAAAATGCATAACATAAAATACTCCACTGGTAATTCTGCAGAAGAATGCTTGATCTAGAAAAGTTCATATTATTAAGGTCCACTAGAAAATTGGAGTCCCAATCTTGGTTTTCGATAGACTAGATTGGAACAAAAGTTCACATGATTGTTTCTTCTCAATTACCCATTCTTAATGTCCATAGGAATAATGAATGAGATTTCTGTTTGTATATATCATTCAGTAAGCCAATCACACTCATCTAATCAAATATAAACTGCATGAGTCAAGAAATTTGTAGAGCGCGAGTAAGCAGCTCAACTCAATCAGTAGCAAAACCCATTCCATAGTCTAAGCAATGTAATAAACAAGAAATTGGAGTCATTGCAAATACACCTCGAGGGCCAGAAGCGTTCATTTCAGGCAAGCCATGGACTTGAAGCCTGGTCTTTATCACATCCAATGGACAAACAAATGTAGCTGCAATAGCACCTGAAATTCGATAATTAAGGGGGAAAACAGTTGCTTCAATTTCAGCGCCCCAAAAACAATACGGGTGACAAAATATCGGTAATGAGTTGGTGAATTACCCGCGGCGGCACCAGCGGAGGCATCGAAAACGATTTCTTTCGGGCTCCGGCGATCGCCGGAGTTGGCAGTGGCGGTCATATTGAACAATTAAATCTCCGATCCTCGCAGAAGTTAAAAAAAGCAAGAACAAAATGCCCAACCTGTAGTTACAAAGAGTCCATTTTGTTTATCATGTATCCATTATATAAGCCGCGAACAAATCCATAGAGGTTGAATTTGGGGCCGTGGCAGACACTTTCAGTTGAATTGAACGGAAATCAGTGTTTTCCGTGTTTGAACAAATCACATTGTCTGTGCGTGTTGCTGGCTTTCCAATTTTTCATAAAAATCAATTCTAGGGTTGTTTTTCACTTTTTAATTTTCGCCCATGTCTTGGTCCTCTTGGAAGCTATTTCTTTTCTTCTTTTTTTTTTCTTTGTTTTTTCATAATTTTTTTTTTTCAAACAGATATGTCTTATTTTAATAAAAAAAATTACAAACGAATCAAGTTTGCAAAATTGCATGAAAAAATAAAAAATAAGTTTTATTATTTTTTAAATAGATATGTCTTGTTTAAAAATATTTTTATTAGAAATGATTCAAGTTTGCAAAATTGATATTCATTAACTTATGACATGATTAGTTTGATAAAATGACATACGAATGAAATATGCATATCTATTTGTAAAAGCTCCACTTTGAGTTCACTAGCAATACTATTTTTGATCTGACAATCATGTTTTAGTCAAGTATTTATGTTTGTAGTTTATTTATTAATGTTAGTATAAGTTCATTTATTTTACATTGTAGATAGTATGGTTCGAGTTTTCGAACAAAATGTACAATATAAATTATATATTCACAGTCTAGACAATCTTGAACAATACACGAATAAATTAACAATCACTCGTGTAATACACGGATATTGTACTAGTTTAGATTTGTATAAGTTTTGCGATATGAGTGCATGGAGTTCAACGATAAGTTTTTGCGAGCAAGAGACAACTTGTTCATGTTGTAGTTCAAGCAAAAGTGCTCAAAGCTTTTGGGGAGCAATTGAAGCACAATATCGAGCACCTAATTAGCAAAAGGGTGCCCACAAAACCTATGACCATCTCCAGTTCTTATCTGTACTCTAGTGTAGAGTTTATTGTACTCTATAGAAGCGCGAAACAAAAATCAAATTTGGTCTCCAACAGTTTGCGCTACAGTTTACTCCACATATATTATTCATTCTATTTTAGTTTATCTAACATGCCAAAATAATATTTATTTGGACATATTATTTTATAAAATAAATATTTTCACGATATTAGTAGTCTGCTACTAGTTTGAAGTATTGTTCGACAAGGAACAATTATATTGCATATTATTTTATTCATTTTACAGTAATTTAATATAAATATACATTTCTCAAAAATAATACTTTCATATAATTATAAAATTAAATTATAAATTTAATGGTACAAACTTTATCAAATAATAAATTTTAAGATAAATCAAATATAATAAAAAGTAAATAAAAATTATAGATAATGAATAGTATCGCGCCATATGTAACACAATACTCTTCATAACTATAGAGTAGTGCAAAGAGTAGCGCACCTTTGGACGACAGTTTTGTCAAGACTCTAGTGTAAAACACTAGAGTAGCGCAACACTGGGGCTGCTCTAAGACCACATTGCCCCTCGATCTTTTCCAGGAGCTCGCGTAGCTGGGTAGCCATACGTTCTAGAGTCGGGTCTTATCGAGCTTGTGATGCCACACTAGGCAAATTATTATATCGTTCAGGCTCGTCGTCCTCCTCCTAATTTCTAGGGAATAGTCTGCAAGTTGCACGACGACATCTGGCGCCACGTGGGGAAGTTGGGTGCGCACTGCCACCCGCTTCTGCGATCATTATTTCCAACTCTATCCAGGTGACTTGGATGACTTGACGGGTGATTTGCAGCGGAATATTTTTTTTTTTTTTTTAAACAAGTATTTATCATATAAATACTCAACCCGTAAATACATAAAGCGAATAAACATATCGCTCCACTTGTCCAACAAATGGTGATTTTGTCATTTTTCCTTTAATACATGACTCACATGTAGGCAACTTATCCTCTCCCCTAAGGTCGAGTTTTTGTCCCAATTTGTGAATCCTTTTTTCAGAAATATGACCCAATCTAGCATGCCAAAGAGAAAATGAACTATGATTATCTAATTTTCTTTTATTTTGTTGAATTATTAGGATGGGACTTTGTGGTGTAACAGTATAAACCATTTGTCAAATATCTGGAATATATAAAAGTTGTATTTTTGAAAATAGAACAGCTTCCATTTTCAATCTTAAACTTAAAACCTTCTCTATCCAATACTAGAATGGAGATAATGTTTCTTATAATATCCGGAACATAAACACAATTGTTTAAACAAATATTTACACCATTATTTAAAGCTAGATAAACAGTCCCTTTAGCTATGGCAGCAATTCTTGCTCTATTACCCATCCTTAGAACTGTTTCTTTATTGTCCAGCTTTTCACTTCTTGCCATTATCTGCAAATCATTGCAAGTATGTGATCCACAACCGGTATCTAATACCCAAGAAGAATCGTTAACTGATAAGTTAACTTCAACAAAATAAATACCTGACCTTTTCAGGCTTGCAAGATACTCCTTGCAATTTCTCTTCCAATGCCCAGTTTTACCACAATGATAACATTCTTGATTAGCCTGAAAATTTACCTTTTCTTTGTTGTTCTTTGCCTTTTTGTTAGACTTATAGGGTACCTTTCTCTTCCCCTTCATTTTCTTAGACTTTAATGTCTTTGATCCAGAAGTGGATCCAACAAGAAGCATTGGCTTATCCTTTTTAATTGTGGATTCAGCTGTCTTTAACATGTTCACCAATTCAGGAAGAGAAGTTTCCATATTGTGCATGTTAAAGTTAACAACAAAAGTATCAAATGATGGAGGCAGAGATTGCAGTAAAAGATCCACATAGAGTTCGTTATCCATAACAACTCCAAGGGATGTTATCCTTTCAATAAGAGCTATCATCTTCAGCCCATGGTCTTGGACTGAAGAGCCCTCAGTCATACGACTCCTGAAAAACTCTTTAGATATCTGATATCTAATTTGCCTTGTCCGTTCGCCATACAACTCTTGTAGGTGATTTAGGATATCAATTGCATTATCAAATAATTCATTTTGTCTCTGCAGCTCATTTGACATAGATGCTAACATGTAGCATCGAGCCTAGAGATTGTCATCAGTATGACGTAGATATTCTCCATACTCAACCGATGTCTTATCCTCGGGTGGAGGAGGAGGAGCTTTGTCAAGCACATAGCCCCTTTTTTCAGACTGTAGAACAATTTTCAGGTTTCTCAGCCAATCAATGAAATTATGTCCAGTTAATTTGTTCTGCTCAAGAATACTTGCGATTGGATTTTTAGCCATTTTAGTAGACTGATCTACAAAAATAAATGATGCAGAAATTAAGTAGACTATGGAATATATATTATTTAATATTAGGTCTTTAATACTAAATGTCTCCCACTATTTTAATTAAGCCCCATATTAATTATGATAATCCCATTTACATAGTGGGCTTGAAGTCCAATAAAATATTACATATCCCAATTTTATGAGTACTCATGAAATATTTATATTGGTAGTCAACATTTTTGACAATTGTATCACTATACAACCTTCAAGTTTATTTTGCCTCACTTTTCTTATATACCCCAATTTTATGACCGTATATAGTACTAAGTGTCAAATTAAACCCATCAAACATTCATGATAATGGCCCATCATAAGTGTTCCACAACTCGTGGCCAATACAAAGACGAATCCATCTCACGAGCATCTCAATGCTTAGTAGAGATCACAGCTTTCAGTCAAAGCCACCCCACGACTCATGGTCAGTGACTAAGCATCGTAGCGTCGTCATGTCATCTACTTTTGATGAAAAGCGTGGATTAATTGGTCCAACATATTTTATCCATTTTCAATTTGATATAGAATTAATAAAATTAATTCCTTTAGAGTTTTTACAATCTCATCATTTGTTAGTTGTGTTTATTTAATGCAACATTCATCACATGAAATGCTAGAAAAATAAACCATACATGCATCATATGCAGAAAGCGATGAGATGATCACGACCATGCCTATACGACATATTCGAGCCAAAATGGGTCTATGCCTACTTACGGGATATAATAAATAGAACTACTTCTATTACATTTTATTTTATCAACCCGTACAAGCACAGACCTTCAAAATTTACAACTTGTAAAATTACCCACACAAGCGTGGGCCTTTTGCATCGAACGACCTTCAACCTGATCTAATCTACTCTCTATGCAATAATTTAAAATTATACAAATTATTGAATAAGAGACTCGCAAATCTCGATAAATTACAAGCATCAATCATATTAAATAAAAGGCTCATGATCATCCCTAAATAAACCATCATCACATGAATTCAACCATATAAATTCACCAATTTAATATGTTGATATAGTAATGAATCATATAAATTTACCAACTTTTGTGTGTTGATTTAATTTTGGGATTATATTAAACTTAACTATTCATAATAGTTAAGATAAAATAATAAAAAATATATATTAATCAACAATTGATTATAATTAATTAATCATGAAACTAATTTCAATATATACACAACAACTTGTATATATATTAATCAACAATTGACTATAATTAATTAATCCTAAATTTAAAATCAAATACAACTTTTGTATTACACACAAAATTATATAATTTAACAATTAAATATGTTTATCTTATAAACATTTAATCATTTTGCTTATCTCATAAACAAAAACAAATCAAAACCTGTTTTTAAAGATGATAACCGTGGCTCTGATACCACTGTTGGGTTCGTCTGTACCATACGGGTGATTTGCAGCGGAATAATTTTTTTTTTTTAAAAAAACAAGTATTTATCATATAAATACTCAACCCATAAATACATAAAGCGAATAAACATATCGTCATCATTTAAAAACATGTATAAATACAAATCTTGATTTGAAGATAGTTTCGAAGTTACCTTAACTTGAACTCCTTTAACTTTTGACGATGATAGAGGAAATCAATCCCGGTTTAGTAACGATCAATTCTTCTTGTTACTCACTTTAGGAATCCAATCGTCTTCCCTCTAATAGTATCCACCTTTTTGAATCCGACTCCGAAAGATAATTTCTTCGCTAGTAGAAATTACTCGGTTTTTCAATAAGTATAGGAATATTTGTTTATGACGAGTTTTACAAGAACTTTTCTTATTTTTAAAGAGATTATAATTTTTCTTATCTTTCTCAAATTTTTCAAGACTTAAATTTTTCTTACAAACTTAGCAATTATGAACATCAAG